TGTTGTTGGCTTCTGCACCGACCCGTACGTGCAGTCACCAGTTGCTGGTAAGGAGCGGGGCAAGTGTCTCCAAACTGGCTTTTTTTGGGGACCTCCCCAAGAGGGAAACCAAGCTCTCCCTGTTCTCCTCACAGCCCTGTTTCCCGACGCCGTCCTCGGTGGGGTGCTGCAGGGCCTCTACCTCTCACCGAGGTGTCCCCCGAATCACGCTGCGCCCCAAGCTCCTGCCCAGCGCTGCTGACCAGCCAGAACAATCCCACCGCGAAAAAGAACCCTCCCCTGCCAGGATGGGGGTGGGTGGGAAGCCAAGGCGGGGCTCTTCCAGGGACCTGCCCCCCCGCCATCCCTCCCAGAGTGGTCAAGGGTGACTTTTTTCTGTAAAAAACCACAATGGTCACATTTATTGGTGCTTCTTACAAAACTGATGGTGGTCCCCTCTTACCTTGGGCTGAAAAGCGGCTCTGCCAACCACTCCCCCTCCCCAGGGAGGGACACCCGGAGTGAGGCAATCCCTCCCAGCCCTTCCCTCGTGAGAGCCCAGGGCTCCCTGGGTGTTGCCTTGCTACTCTTTGGCGATGGCAAATGGCTTCTCCACCTCGATGGTGCCGCAGTCGGCGATGGCGACGTCCTTCAAGGGTTTGTCCCGGCTGTCCGTCTTAGTGTTCTCCACCTTCCTCACTACATCCTTTGGAGAGAGGGGAGCAGAAGGGTGAAGCAGCACCTCTCTCTGGGGACTGATCACCGTATCACCCCGCCCTCGTCACCCCCTTACCATGCCCTCCAGCACTTTGCCAAACACCACGTGCTTGCCGTCAAGCCACGGCGTCTTCACTGTGGTGATGAAGAACTGGGAACCGTTGGTGTCTTTGCCGGCGTTGGCCATGCTCACCCAGCCAGGGCCATAGTGCTTCAGCTTGAAGTTCTCGTCGGGGAAGCGGTCCCCATAGATACTTTTTCCTAAGGAAAAAGGAGAGGGGAGAATAAAACGGCCATGGTGATCTCGTGGAAATCCATCAAGACGGCAGCCAGGTCATTGGGCTGCCCCAGGACAAATTACCTCCAGTGCCGTCGCCACGGGTGAAGTCTCCTCCCTGGATCATGAAGTCCTTGATCACACGGTGGAACTTGCTGCCCTTGAAGCCGAATCCTTTCTAGGGGCAGGGAGGGAGAAAACGGGAGTGAAGTGAAGGGCCAGACCTCCAGCTCTGCCTGGGGGCACCAAGCAGGAG